TGAGATCAAGGTAAGCCGCAAAAATGTGAGGAAAAACGAAGTTTGCTGTAGTGGTTTCATCATAAACGCCTTGTCTAACCGTCTATATGATCTGTTTCATTTTCTTAGATCACCGTAAGAAATCTTGAAGGTTTTGGAGAACAAATACATGTTTGAAAAACAAGGTACGAACAGATTTTTAACTATGAAGTTCTTTGAGTTTCAAATGTTGGATAACAAATCTGTGATGAATCAAGTTGATGAATTACTTCTGTTAGTGTCTAGATTAAAGGATTTAAGTATCGAAGTGTCGGATTGTGACAGCCCCACCTTCCCTAAGGCGAACCAAAGGGGTTAGCGGACTGCCTACCCAGCTCTCGCCAGGACTAACGGTGCAGTTTAGAGCGATCTATTTCGTTCCGAAACTTATAACGCGCGTAAACAAGGAAAAAGGGCAAAATAACCCAAAATTAAAAAAATGAAATTCAGAGTCGGCCATGAATAGTAACCGACCAGTCAGAACGCAACCAAATATCAAACAAACATTCACATCTTGAACTTTAGCAATTACAATCCAAAGTGACATACAAAAGTTTTCAAAAGTTAATATATACACGGTTTGCCAAATTGAAAGTGAAAACGGCCCTAAAGATACATTTAGGGTTTCACTTCATATACAATACAAAAACGATATACATCTAGTTCATTCGGCAACCATCTATCAAGATTCATTCCAAAAAGAGTCATATTCCTGTAAGGAAAACAAAAGGAACGGTGTGAGCTAATTGCCCAGTGAGATACTATCACTTACGCACCCAAGTGCATATAAGCATCAAGCTTTCATTCAATATAGTAAAAATAAGCAAAGGCACACGTCAAATATAGTGATAAAAGGATACAGATGGCTCTCAAGAGCCCTTTCCTCATTTGCATTTCTTGATCGGACGTCATTGACTCTCCGTCAATGTTCAAAAGTACCAACCGTAGACTCCACTTTACTTCCACTCCTTCCACCTAACATACCCCTACCGGGCCCGAAATCCAAACACTTGCACTTTGGTTTTACTCGAATAAACCGGAATCGAGAGTCTCGCATACTACATGATTCCATATAACACTTCCCCAAGGCATATCAATTGGCACGACCAAGCCCTCGCCAGCTCGATTCAATCAACTACCAATGGGGTTGAGCTCATTGATAACAATTGTAGTCGTTGGATACTCGTCCAAACGACACCAAGCCATGTACTTTCATTTCAAGTAACACTTCGTGTAACATTTCAATCACATGATAACAATGATATAAAGCACATAGTGAGAGTGATAAAGTACACTTTCACTTCAAGCAATTAACATTCAAAGCACCAAGTCCAAGTATCAAAGCCATATATTAACATACAAGTGAGTAGTACACTCACCAAGCTCGCAAATGTGGTTTCATGCACTTCCGTCAAAAGAACGTTGTGCACCACCGTCACGCCCTAAAACATGCAAACAAGTACAATGAGACTCGATAACGAGTCATAAACCAAGGCCAAACATGACCCCAATAGGGTTCCATAAGCATATACAAACATTAGAGGAAACCAGAAAATTCGGAAATGCAATTAGCTTTGGCCCTGAAAAAAATAGTTTTTGACCTCGTTTTGCGGTAATGGCACCAATTTCACTACGATTATCGGATGAAGGTATACGATACACCGATTCGAAGCTAAAAGACAGGGCTACAACATCACAGAAGGTCACTCAACCCAGTTTTGAGTGCAAACAGGTCAAAAATGCAAGATACTACATCAAAACCATAAAAACAGATTCACAAAACGCGCATTCTAGCGGAAACATCATAACTCAGGTTCTCCAAGTCCAAATCCAAAAATTCCAAAACCAGATGAAAGCTAAGAAACAGGGCTACATTTCATCAGAAGGCCTCAACAACCAATTCTGATACGAACCCGATTCTCCAAGGACTACTCGAGAAGAAATCGAATCAATCAGACAGCGGAAGGATCTATCTTGATCAGGTTATGGGTACAAAAGATGGATTCTAAACCAATCAAGGACAACTCAAGATTCTTTAGAGCAGTAGAATGGCGCCACAAATTCAACATGGTCTTGAATTGATAAGCCGAAACTTGAACAAAGGAGATTCAACTCACTTTGTATCAAGGGACGCTCCCAAGGAACAAGAGAAAACTCTCAAATTTTATTCATAATTGTCTTCTCCTTGAAAATATCATAAGCATGGCTATTTATAGCCTTACAAAACTCAAAACCCTAATCTAAATTGGAAACGATACAAGTTTCTTTATTTGACTTGACTTCTAAATTTGACACAACTTCCTAAATAAATTTGGAAGCAATTAACTACTTTCCTAAAACTCTAATTCAACTAGAATAGGAAACTAACTCAAATAGGCTTAACTATGGTCAACATGACCTTAGCCTTTATTCCCTAATTCAAACAACTTACTTAACTCTCAATTTGGAAATCAATCAAGATATTAATCAAGATTTGGAAACCAATCAAGATTTGGAAACATTGGATTTTCAATGATTCTCGAACCCGATTGCACCATCAACCATCATTGGAATGTGAAGACTTGTAAAATGAAAGGAATCCATGCAAATCTTCATGTTCTCATCAAATTCGGAAGCAATTCCAGCCAAAACAACCAATTACAGGCGCAATTCTTACATTCGGGTAAAACCAGAACAGCAATAGTAATTTCAACTTTTCTCATTCTACACTACTCCGATTGACCTGAAATTTTGTAGACACCTCTAAAATGTCATTCCCTACAACTTTCATGTTTTAAGCCAAGGCCAATTCGGCCTCTAACTAGGAGCTAAAAATTCGGGCAGAATGCTCCACTAGAACCCTAATTTTCTGAAATTTCTTCCAAACCAGAAATTGGTTGCAATTAATCACTTTTTCCACCTCCTAAAGTCATTATATACCATTTCTAATCATCATAGATAGCCACACAATCATGCTTATATTAAAACAGAAAAATCCCCAAAAATAATAAAACTTCATCACTTCAACCACAAATCAAGAAATAATCCATAAACTTGCATCTCATACTACCACTAAGCATGATTTAAGCATCAATTAAGGGAGGAGGGTGGTTCTTCACAACTCACCTTAAAAACAAGAGAGAGAGCAATTGGTCACCTTAACTTTCCAAATAACTTCACACAACAACTCACAAACACTTCAATGGTTGGTTTTGATGATTTGGAGCAAGCTTGAAGAGTTTTCTTCCTTGTGCTTAGAGTAAGAGAGAGAGAAAGAGAGAAAGAGAGGGCTGGCCACTTATGGAGGATTTTTGATGATTTTTGGTCATTTTTGGTTTATTTAAGTCAAATGGTAAGACCATGAATAATGGTCTTAAAGGTAAACCACTCAAATGGTGACACTTGTCACCTTTTATTAAATACTTACCTAACTTGTCTCTCTTATACCAATCCACTTAGCCTCCTCTAATTATCTCTTAACACCCGGTAAATTAATTCCAGTATCCAAAACTTAACCTAGTTGGCCGAATTTTTCTGAACTTTTCGCACTAGTGGGTCCACGTCCGGTATACGCTCTTAATTTCTCAAAACCTATTCGATACTAGAAAAATCATCTAAAAATTATATCTGCTCCTTAAAATTATCTAGAAATTTTCCTAAGCACGAAAATGCAGAAAACAAGCCATGAAAGATTCTAAAACCTAGAAAATGGAAAATTACGGGTTCTCACACGGATCAACTTCAAGTGGATGCTGTGACTGCAAAATTACCATCCACTTGGAATCATTATAGGAAGAAACTACTGCACACTCCTAAAAATTTCACCATAGACCAATTTACGAAACATATCCAAATTGAAGAGGATACTCGTATTCGAGAGAATAATTTTGCTTTGGAATCTGGTACTAAGGTGAATAATATTGAGTCTAGTGCTAATAAAAAATCTAGGAAAGGTGGAAACAAATTCGGCAATAAGAGAAAACATGGAGATATGTCTCCTAGAAATTCTACGAACAATAAGAAAGAAAGTTCATGTTTTTCTTGTGGAAAGAAAGTGCGACAGCCCCACCTCTCTCTAGGGCGAACCCTAGGGTATCAGCGTACTGCCTGCCCAGTTCTCGCCGGAGCTCGGTCGATCAAAGAACTAGCAACTCAAGATAACCAGTGAAATAACTTCAAATTAAAGCGTACAAACCCTAATGGCATATAATCGTCAAGCCAACTTTCCAAACTTAGAATGTCAAGCCAAATGTCAAACTTACCACTCTACACTACAATTACATAACATAAGTCGAACTTATGAATTCAAACTTACAAGAGTCAAAAGTAAAGTCAACTAAGCAAAAGGTTACAATTCGAAGTACAAGTTCAAGTAAAAGATAAAGCTTTGAAAGCTCTTGCCCCTATGTCCATCCCACATCTGTTAAGGAAAACAAAGGGAGTGGGGTGAGCTAAAGCTCAGTGAGATTCCAAATAAACAGATACCCACGTAGCCAGATAAAGATTTAAGGTAAACAAGTAAACACAGTATTGTACTACAACAATGTAATCACAGTTCAATTCAAGGATACGGGTGGCTTCCAAAAGCCAAATCCACTTGAGCTTGATCATACAAGAATCCGTTGACTCTCCATCAACGTTTGCATTTAAAGAATACAATGTCCGTAGAACTCCACTTTCTCCAATTCCCGTCCACCAGTCAACCCCCTTACCGGGCCCGAACTCCTCAAACAGTAAGTAGGTAATACTCGAGTATACCGGTTTCCAGTTTCAGTAAACAGTCCTCAAGGTTTATCGGCCTTCTCGACCAAGCCCTTGCGGGCTCTATACAACCGACTATTCGAGCGTATAAGGCTTATTCTTCCTAAATTACTAATTTGCTCTTTTAACTTAAAAGAGATTTTACTGCTTGCATGACTATCTGATGTTTCGAGTGTCAAGGAGAAAGGGATTACATTCAATTTTCTACTGGATTTTTGTTGCTGATTGTTGTTATACTTAACATACTTATTTGTTTCAGGCCCTGAAAATACAAGGTAATCATTCTGAAGCAGTTGCTGAACTATTAAAGATATGCCTCATTCACAAGATATTTCCTCCTGAAGAGAGCTCGGTAGTCTGTTTCTCTTTAGTTTTTCTCAATTATCTCTTTTCCAGCTCTCTTGGAAATATTAATATATCTTTTGTCCATTACATCTAAAACACAATATTTTGTGGTGAAGCGTGCATTACATGAGTGTCTCCTAAAAGCAACTAGTCAACAAGTTAGAGGTCAATTACACGTGGCAGGAACGTGTCAGCCATTTAATTTGTGACTTTGTAAACTTGTTGAATGTGGAGACTTTTGGTTGAGTAACTTGCCCAAAGCTTCTTCACCCTCTGGTTCTCATAAAGTAATTACAATTTATACGACCATGGCGCCAGGGGAGAAGGGGAGTAAGGAGATGATTTCTGCACCTAAATGTGAAGTTTGAACACAAAAGAAAAAGCTCTCAAGGTGGAATGCCTAATGTGAGTACAATCAAGCAAAAGGCCACAAAATAAATCCACTAAAAGCAGATAAATAGTGCAAGGGTAGAATATAAGTCTGCCACATTTTTTGGCCATGTCAGATAACAAGGGTCATGCAGTCATTAAGTAGTTCCAGAAACAATTTAGGTGAAAGAAGGATATTTGGAAATAGTGTTAACTTTGGTACATAGTTATTGTGTGAGTGCATATAATTATCTTCTACATTTTGGTTTAAGTGTTTTGATTACAATGGAGCACTCCTGTCATGGCATAGTAGGTTAGAGGTGCAAAGTGCACTAAAAGCTCAAAGGCCTTCTGGGGCTTTGTTGCAGGGAGCAAGGCATGTGCTTCACAAGTTTACTACTTAAATTGTCATCTTCTGTTATACCTCACTTGTAGACATGGTATTACACAAGGGCAGAAAATAAGTTCGCTAAGGGGCCGATAAATGGTGCAAAAGTAGAATCTGCCACATTTTTCGTTGAGTCAGGTATAATGCAGATAGGGTCATGCAGCCACTAAGTAGTTTCAGAAACAATTTAGGTGAAAGAAGGTGTTTTTGACATTGTTTCAAATTGTTATCAAGTTTATTGTATGAGTGGAGTATAATTATCTTCTGTTTGTGGTGTTTTGATCACAAAGGAGCACTCGTATCATGCATAGCAATGTGCGGGTGCAAAGTGCACTAAGCACAAAAGAGCTTCCGGGGCTTTACTGGGGAAAGTGAGGCATGTGCTTCACAAGTTTACTACTATAGTTATTTTCTTCTGATATATCTCACTTGTAGGCATGATGGTATTAGAAGCATAATTCCACTTGTGCTTTGGATGAACACACAAATTTTGTCAATTTATCGTAGACTATAAAAGCTGTGCTTGGCTTGATTTTGAACCTGAGTTTCCAAGGTGAATTTAATCAATCTCCAAGGAATAAATCCAATAAATATTTTGGCTTAGCAATATTTGTGGATTTACAAGGTCAACACTGAGCACTTTTTCACCCCTCAAGTCATTATACTCTACACAGTCAAGCTTTGAGAAATGGATTTAGCAATATGTGTTGTGTAATAAATATTGGACACTTCAGTAAACATGATAAATTTTCTTATAGAAGTATCAAATGGTTAATACTTGTAAATTAGCGTTCCTTTTGATTTATTCGAAGGCATGAAATGTTCGATATTAGGAAGCTCAACTTAGGAATTAATGGGCTGCGCATAATGATTCATGGCATCTCGATGTTAGTTCATTCCTCCAATTTTTGGTAGATTTGTTTTCATGGTCATGTTGGTAACTGGAAGCTCCTGTGAAATTTGCTCTCTTCAGCAAAGCTTAAGAGGTTTTAGTTATCGAGTAATCAATAGAATGCTTGATATTTCTTATGTGTTTTTGTGATTTTCTGCAGGCTGAGATGGAAATGGTTGCCCGAGGACTTGAAAAGCAGTTAAATGTGGATCAAAGAGAACTTTTGTTAAACATGCTCATTAGGACATGTGGTGAAGGGACACGTAGAAGCATGACTGAAGCTCTGGGTCTGGTATTTCCATGCTTCTTTGCTCTTTCTCTGCAATGTTTAAACAAAATTTGACATCCCTGCTCCAATTGTGCATTGTGATCATTTCATTTATTGGAGAAACTCTTGAAAAATTTTATGTTGAAGCTGGTTGCCCAGTTTTTGATTGTAAATATGAGCAAAATTTGATTATTTGTAGAGAGGTGGTATTGTCACATGGTATCATGCATGTTCTTTCTTCATCTCATGGTCTCAGACTTCAAACTATGTCACCTTTCCCTCTTCCTGCATCTGGAGAAACCAACAGCATTTTGGTAATCAAGTATAATTTCTCTGTTTTTTCGGGACAAATTTCGCTACTTGGATGGGAGTCTTTTAATTAATTTTCTTGCCTGTCTTGAAGTATCATTGGGGGATAATTCCTAATTGGATTTACTTGTTAAGAGATTTCACGGGCACCATCACTGGATTCTTACTTATTTATGGAGATACAATAGTCTGCTTTTAGCTCTTGATTCCATACTTACTGTTCAAACTACTCGTGCAGATACAACCACCTCAGAGTGATGTTGAACAAGAAAAGAGGGTTTCTTAAGTTGCACAGGACATTTTACAGCAGCTTCAATCAAGCCTTGACGCTCGAAAAATACATATTGTGTATATCAATTAGTTATTGTCTCCTCTTTGTTGCTTTATTAATATTACATTCCATCAACAACTATGATGCATACATATTTGACAAGCTTTTTGTCCAGTCTTGTGGAATTCCAAGTTGCTCGCCTACTTTCATTTCCCACTGAGTTTTGGTTGACAATGAGGATAATCCTGTTTACTTCAGTTTCCACTTGTTCTACCTTTTTTGGTTGCGCACTTGCTATGACCATCGGGAACACATGGTAGCTAGAAAAGTTCATGCATCTTGTAAGCACAAAGGTGGTTTATTGGCACCCCCAAAAAGAATGAATCCCCGGTATGTATACCTGAAGCCATAAAGGCAGGCGTTTGGGTACCCTCAGAAAGAATGAATCCCAGCTAAATACCTGAAGCCATCATTTAGGCTGATCCTAGCCTTTGTTTCATATCCGCGCGTTGCAAAGCCATAGAAGTGTACAAAAGCATGTGTGGAAGGAGAAGATATGAAAACAAGAAAAAGATTCAAACACCTAAGTCTTGATTCTAGTCAGTGGTATGTTCAAGATGATGTGTATACTTATTGGGGATCAAAGTCTTTGTTTCTGGTCTTTGAATCACTAGTTTGATTCCCTTCCAGGCATTTTCCTTAATCCCTCCCTATCAAAATAATATGTAAATTACCAAAATTAGGATTAAGAAACGATGAATAATTTTATGACACGAACAAAGAGATTTGGATAAATTTTATGAGCTTTATGAATCATTTATAATATTTTGAAATTTAATTATTAACCTGGACAGATAGCACAAAATTGAGGCTTTTTTTCCTGCAATTTTGTTATCAAATCATAACCATAATATCTTCTTTGAGAACTTATGTTTTTATGCGTGTTATTTGTTATTATTAGACATAGTTTGGTGTATTTTGTGTAAAAAAAGAAAAAAGTAATTTTGGAATTTCTTTTTGAAGTTGAGTTGCAAAAAATTTTGTAGTACTATTTCAAAATTTGAGAAATTTTTTAGTCTTACTTTGCATTTTCTTATGATGTTTTGAATTGCAAATAGAAAAAAATGCCTAAACTTATATTTACAAGTTTTATAGTGTGTTTGATGTACAAAAATTGTGTTTCTTTTTTGGTCCCTCATTTTTGGAGTTTTGAACAATTCAATTCTTTGTCTGTAACTGTGATCATTTTAGTCATTTATCTTTACCAAACAAGAAAAACTAATCTTGGACCTCTTATGGAAAATGAAAAATTTTAACAGAATTAGTTATATGCACAATTAAAAATGAATGTTTTCATCCATCATCTTCATGATCATGTCCAATTTTGTCTATTTCATGTCATCACATACCAATTGGTGTATCTCTGTGTGTGTGAGTTTTTTTTCCTATTCTGCTTTTTTTTTAAAAAAAGTTAAACTCATAGTGCATAGGACCGACTCCATTAGAGTTTTATAATTTTTCATTAAAAGTCCTATAATAACTTTATTTTGTGAAAATGAAGGTTTACATTTTTCAAAAGGCAAAATAGGACACAACCTTAATGATAATGTACCAAAGCAGTCATGTTTAATAGCACCCACGCTACACACGTGACTAATTTCATTAGAACTTTTCAAATTTCCATAAGAGGTCCTAAATTGTTTTTTTTTTTTTTTTTGGGTAAAGATAATAGAATAAAATAGTCACAATGATAGATAAGGGACTAAATTGGTCAAAACCCCAAAGATGAGGGACCAAAATGGCCATTTTTCATGAAATATTTTGAGTCATAGTAATTTTATAAACTTTTTAAATTTTTTTCCCCAAACATATGCCAAAGAAATAACATTAAGGTCTTTCCATTTCATTGACAACTCTCCATTTTCTTGTAAAAACATTTATTGGCCACTTTTTTTTGGAAGTTAAGGTTTATTCTACTTTTTTTTCGCAAGGTAAACTTATAGTGCATGTGATCGGCTCCATTAGGGTTTTGTAATTTTTCATTAAAAATCCTGTATTCACTTTATTTTGTGAAAATAAAGGTTTACATTGTTCAAAAGACAAAATATGGCACAACCTTAATGATGATATACCAAAGCAATTTCTTTTAATATCACACATACTACACACGTGACTAACTTTATTAGAATTTTTCAAATTTCATTGTTACATTAATGTTGCGATGATAGATAAGGACCAAAATGGCCATTTTTTCCTAAAGTATTTTGAGTTTTAGTAGTTTTATGAACTTTTTAAATAATTTTCACCAAACATATGCCAAAGAAATAACATTAAGGTCTTTCCATTTTGTTGATAACTCTCCATTCCTTGTAAAAACATTTTATTGGCCACTGTTTTGGTAGCCAAGGAACTGAATTCATTCACCATCATAACTAAGAGGTAAAATTGGTTAAGGACACAAGGACAAGGGACCAAATTTGTCATTTTCATTGTTACATTAATGTTGCAAGTGCGATTCACGTGATCATTCTGTTAGTTCTCTCTAATTCTCGTTAAAACTCCAATTGCAACCACTTTTTACAAAAGTAATTAGATGACTTTTCCCTCTGTATCCTGCACCTACAAAAACCATTACGACTAGGGGTAATCAGGCATAATTTCTCGATTTTGAGAGGGAGTTCTCTACTTGTACAAGAGTATTTACTTCATTCTCTTTCTTGTCTTGAAGTACCGGTGAGGGATAATTTCCAATTGACTTTACTTGTTAAGGGATGTGGGGAGCACCATCTCTAGTTAATTAATTCATTCAACTATATGTAAGCTTAGAGATACGTATACAAGGGTATAAAGGTGTACAATTGTACGAACAGCAATATCATTCTTCCACAATTGCCTACTATTCCTATTTTCATTTCGCTAAATTAAGTTTTGATAAGAAGAAACACGTAAATTACATATTTACAAGGATTTGGAAAATACAAAAAAAAATTATGGAGTATTACACTCAACGTGCGTGTAACTAGCAATTGAGAAGCAGTGGGCATCTGTCATTTTTTTTTTTAAATTGCGAATTGATTGTTGATGAGATTAATCAGTGTTTTTGTAGTATAATCCCATTAGATAATGTTACAAATGACATTAGATTATGTAGTGAATCATTTTGGCTGTGTTCATTTTCCTTCATTATTAGGAAAGTGAACCTTGGTAATCATGGTTTCGCTAAATTAACCGCTAACTCTTGAATGAGATCAGGTGGAGCGAAGTCTTCGTTTGTGTGGTTAAGTAAGCTAACATAAAGATTATCTGCTAGTTACCAACCTTTTGTAAAGTAGAGTACATCCTTTTAACTACTTTTGACCCAAAAAAAAAAAAAAAGTTGTATGTTCTTTTAGTTCTCTTGATTGGAGAAAATTTTGCTTCCAAAGAAGAATGCGGTAAGAGGTTGTCCATATTTTATATATACAGCCCTGCATTTTCTGTCCCTTGTTGTGTACCTCCATTTGAGTTCAGTTTCCACTTTTCCCCCTTTGAATAAATATTTTGGTTTTTAATGGGAGTTTATCTAGGATTTTGGCATTATGATTTTATGGGGGCAGGAATAAGCATTCAAAGAACAATTTGAGACTTGATTAATTTCCTCTTATGTAAGAATAGTTTGATGAGCATCTAAGTTGAGCTTGGATTGACCTCATGAGATGAGGGGCTCTTTATGACTTTTTATGATTTTTCCAAATGTGATCAATTTCAGCTACGAGTAATGCACAGTATATTGCAATTCTTAGAAACTGCATCTGCAGTAGTCTCTTATACAACGAAAATGCATTGAACCATTTGATGGTTAGACAACTTGCTTGTTAAGCTCTTAGGTGTCTCTAGCGCTCTACTAATGGAGACCAATGCCATCTTATTTTGTTTAGCCTCCTTGCTCGAGTAAAAGTGAGCACTTTTGTATGGTCGAGTTCGCAGGATTACAATTAGAACTAGATCTCTATGTTCACGGTTACTAGATTTTCCATGTCCAAGGAGCATAATGAATGTACCTAAGCTACTTAGCATAGATTTGCTCATACCAATGGAGGGGCCAGACAAAAAAAAAAAAAGAGGCCAGGCTATTTGGCAATTTACAATGGTAATTTTGCCCTCTAACTCTGATTCAAGTTTGATCATATGCCAAATTTTGGTCACGTCAAACCAAACCATCTCAGTGAATTGTGATGCACAATGCGATCGCTAGGAGGCAATTTGCAATGAACCTTATAGTTAAAAGGGATTCAATGGATTTTGCGCTATATAAAACACCTTAGTATCTTGTGAGCTGCGTTGCCCTTTAGCCAAACCGGGTAGAAAGAGTATTGGAAAAAAAAAAAGGACTTAGCTATCTTGCTACTTAATCAATGTATGTGTATGTGTATACGTATGTTAAACACAAGCACACAAGCTATTTAATCTATGTATGTGTGTGTATGTATGCTAAACACACAAACGCTAACGTGCGCGCGCGCACACAAAATCTGCTGTGCCTAAAGTACCCACATTGAGAGACTAGTATAGTTTCAACTTGAGAATAACACTTAAATATTATCAGATTAGCTGTACATGAGCCTATTTTCTCAGCTACAAAGAACAGCAACTAAGTTATTAGAACCGCATTGTGACTGTCAAAATTGGCAATGAGAGGGGCGGCAACTGTTTCAGAAAACATGTATTACAACTCACATTTACATACAGCAGTATCACCATTTTGAAAGAGTCAAGAGTCAAGATGCTTGAGAGTCTAGATTGGAAGTCAAACCAAACCAGTGGTAGTCCGAGCTATCCTCTGAGCTTCTTCAAGGTCCTTCAGAAACCTGGGTGCACATGGATCAATATGACTTTCTGAAAGATTTGTAAGTGGAAGGGAAACAAAGGTGATTTTGTTTTGTAAGAAATGGAGTCTGGTAAATTCATATACAGCCAACCAGAAAGTAACAAAGCCAACATGCAATCCCAAAAAGTTTTTAAGCAAGCAAAAGGAATATGTACTAGGCCCAAGCAGATAAAAACAAAAAATGCAAATAAATCTACATAAAACCAATAACAGAGATGTATTTGCAATAAAAAAGTTTCATAGCATTTAACGTGATTTTCTTGGACCCAGTCTGAACAACAGTCACTCGGAAGTATATTTAAAACTCACAGACCTCTTAGAATTGAGAACTGCAGAACCCCCAAGAATGAAACGAATACCAGAGTTTGTAGTATTTTGTAAAGCAACTGCACGTGATTCTTCATATGTTGTCCCGCCAACAATGAATATAACCACTTCCTGCAACCTGTCAACAATAATGAATGTAGGGAGTGAGTTTGATCAATGATTCAAAACTCTGATAATAGTTGATGTCATGTGTTAAACATTCTTTGCGCGAAAGAAGATAACTTCAAAGCCTTTCATATTAGACAAAAACCTTGACTGTATAACTGGACTAAAAAACTGATTTTGATACATTGAATAGAAACATAAAGGAGAAGTCAAATCGAAGACTATGGAGAAAGGCCTCGACATGACTTCACAAGGATCTTCCTACTGCTCTAACTTACTGTGGGTCTACAGCTAATTTTCTAGGTATTTCCTCCCTGTATAAGGAGCACTCATAGCTGCCACCTGAGTCATTGGCTTACAATGCAACATCTAGTAGGAAAAAAATATCCAAAAAGCCAACCTAAAAGATATACCACTAAGTCTACCAAAAACGTGTAGGAGCTTCACTATCTCAGAATCCCAACATACTGTGAATCCTAGGTTTTAAAAATAAAAAATTCACTCCTTAACTTGGGATGCTGTTAGCAAGCACCAATACTATGTTAATTCCCGTAATTTTTTTCTCAGACCAATTGCAATTCCAGAGAATATCATCCTACATTCATGTCAACCAATAACACAAGCACAGAGAGGCATATCATAAATCTACAAAAGGAAGCCTACGTGGTTTTATGAAGTTTAATATGAAACCTATGTTTTCTTTGCATGTTCAATCTCAAAATTTTGATTCTGAATATAATAGTCAAGCATTACTATAGCTGTCAGATTTGCTGAGATTCTCTGCAGTTTCGTCCATGAGTTTAAAACAGGTAATGTAACCATAGGCAGCCTTATTGAAAGTCCAAGCTGTCCTTGTATGAGAAATGAATGGTTCAGAGTTTGAACAAAAAATCTGCAGAAGCTTAAAAGTCTCACACACCAAAGATTTGAAGTTAAAGAACAGTATGACAATCACATGCTTTCGTTTAAAGTTTACAGCCCTTTTGTTGCTTGAAGCCTTAGTGTGGGGCATTTCTGTGGAATCTACAACACATTCTTAGAGAATCTTCCTAAACTTTCTTCTTCTATGTAGCCTCCAATATTCTTAAAACTTATTATTCTGGAAGCAGTGCCAAGGATGCCTTGATCTAGTGGCAAAGGTTGAGGTTCTAGGATTTAAAGTTCCTGGGTTCAAATCCCCCTGCCCCCTCCCTGCTTCTTAAATCCGACTCCTCTGCTTTTTTGTTTTTTTTTTTTTCGGTTGGGGGGGGCGCTTGTAACTAGAAATCAATGGAAAATACAAGATTGAAAAGCTTTTTCCTACAGCATGGCAGGGTGAAGAAGGAAGATATGTGACAATACATACTTAGTGGCAACTTAATCCTTGTCATAGAAAAATTTTCAAATTCTATTACAAGGATATAACCTGAATGTGAAAGCTTTCAAGCAGATTCAAATGATTTCCAAATAACCTAACCTCACTCTATTAGACACCCCCACCCCGCAACACAAGAAAGAATAAATAAAACCCCAAATCATCCTCGCTCCACTTAAGCCCTAATTCCTTGTTCCTTGCTAACAACCAAGCAATCTTCTTCTGTTTCCATAAAAAAGAGCAATACATTGAACAGCGCAAATCCACAACCACCTCTCACGAGCATGTATCGTTCTCAGAATCAACTGCTAAAACTCAAACAGATCTTCTGCTGTATTACTGCTTAAATGAAAAAAATAAACTCTCAGCCCTAGTGTCATCAACTAAATCCATGTAAATCAATCTAAATGGTGTCTTGCATCGGTATATTTTCCACATAAAAACCAGACCTTCTGCATTCACCATGAGTGAACATTGGCCCAGTCACTCACCTTACAGGCATCAATTAATTTATGACTGGTCAAACAAGGAAGGAATAAAGAACTGGAGTGTGCATGATAAAGACTAATAAAGAACTTTCTAAATTAAATCCATAGGTTAAGGAGCACAAAAAAATCAGTAAGGCATAAATACGTCAGTCCAGGAGGCAGAAACAAGGTCTCAACAGAAAATGATGAATTAATTAATTAACTAACCTCCCTTGCTGAAAGTGATTCCCAACAAAAGGATAATCCACATCTTTCAGTCGCCCCTTGGTAATGCTCTCCATTATATGAAATAAAAGCGGCTGATGTTGGGTGTACACATTCTCAACCCCCTACAAGAAACAGTGACAATTTCATAGTGCCTATAGCAAAATAATGTTAAAGAAACACGAGAACAAAAGTTTGAAGGCAAACCTTGAGCCCACGAGCCATGTTGCGTGCAATATTTAGAAGATCCCGGTTTCCATAAAGATCCCCAGTTCGTTTATCAACTCCAGCCTGCTTTAGTAAAAATTGCACAAGCTGCAAATGGATGGAAGATCATTTAATAGGGGATCTAGTTTGACTCCAATGTCAAGATTCAACAGAAAATATAATAATTAATGCATATGCTCCAAATGATCTGAAGCTCCAAATCCGAAGCCTCAAAAGCAGAAGGAAGAGCCACACAATCACAAATTGCAAGAATCACACAAGCAAGGGAAATCAATAGAAGCAAACAACCAAATGAAGCCTTCTGAATTTGATCTCTCACCCCAGGCTTATACTTGGGAGACCGGGATGCCAATTTGTTAAATAACTGCATCAGTTGAACAGGACTCTCCTTTTCATAACGCAAAGCATACAGCATGACTAGACGTAAGCGGTCAATGTCAGAGACACTGTCATTGTTAAGAAGATTTGTCACAGCCTGCACATAAACATGGTAGGAAATAGGTCAAGCTCATAAACCCTAATTTAAACTATAGGTATCACATTAATCTGCACAATCCACTACAACCTATAGAAAACCAAAATTGTTCAAACAAAGATGATTTAACTATTTGAAAATTCACTACCACGGTGGAGGAAAATAAGAAACAAAAACCTAACTTTGAAATTCAAGTTACTGATTCAAGAAGACACCAAATTCCATGTCAAATATAGGTCAACCTATATGGTTCCAGCTCAAACACACATCTAACCTCTATGAAGTTACCAAAGATACTATGTGTTGCAACAACTTAGATATGCTAAACACCACTGTAAATGTCTAATAAAAAACATTCCAAACATTAGCAAGCAATGTATGAAATAAAAAGTAGTTTTCAGTGGTTCCTCCTCAAAATGAAAATAGATATAAAAAAGGAACATTTAATTTGTTTTTTATTCTGCCCATTCAATCATGTACAGCTATTCTACTCTTCCAAGGGCTATTCATTTTCATCACAATAACATACCATCAAAAAAATTACTCATTGACAAAAAATAAAAGGAAACAATATGATGGCTCAAGCTTAAACCTTGGTTAACATATTAATATTACTCAGAGAGAACAACAAAAGCAAACAGAGGTAATTGAATAAGAAACTGTATTCAAGTCATATTTCCTGCTCTTTTACAAGTCAGCATTGTCTGTTCTTTTACAATCATTTCTAGTCTTTATATGGAGTGATTTTGCATTGGTACTTTGTCTCTATTCTTCTATGGTTAAATCATGCTACTTCTTTAGCCACTTCTTTTTTTCAAAGAAAAAAATTCAAACAACTTGAAATACAAAAGTAACATGGCACTGATATCTAACAGATATAATAGAAAGGACTTATTTTTCCAGTGAAGGGTGTGTATGATTATGTCCAATGGCATTTTGCATGTCAAAAGGGTTTAATGTTAACAATTTTTCTGCAGATTTTACTTTGAGTTTTTGAGGGTGTAGTGTTTGAGGCCATTTCATGGCATTTATTTTCATTTTGGGATAGCATATGTCAATGCTGCATGATTGTAAGCAGAACAAGCCCTTCAATCAACTAAATGTGAGCATTACTTTGTGCATTGCACCTAATCCCTCAAAGGGTTTAGTGCTTTTTGCAGTGCCATTTGCCTCTCAATACTATTTATAGCTAAAGTTTTACTCTGCTTGTTGGAGACTTGACAAATGCTAAGCCAAAATGAACTCAAGGTAAAATCAGTGATAAACAAACTACTATACTTGGGCAGCAATTTACTCAAGGTAAAGGAATGACTATAATTATTGGTTGTGCACCTGACACATGTCATTAAACTATAATCATCTTACGGAATTTGAAATCTATATCTGACTTGATTCTAAGAGATATCCTTGGGAATTACATCTGCATTTCAGGCAGAACATTCAACTTGACGGATGAAATGTGATTGGGGTATACAAAAAGCATAAGATGGACCCAACCAAGGACAAATCTTCCAAGCTCTGATATATTCTTAAGCACAATACAGTGAAAAAGAACCGACTTCCAGATATTCACTTTTTCAGCAAGCTAACAAAGAAAATAAAAAGTGCCAGATATTCACTTTACCTCAAATGCAGCCCCTTGGCCACCATTGCAAGCCAATTCCTGTTCTACTTCTGAAACTAACATGAGTTTTCTTTCTTCAACTATCTTGCTCATTTCCGTAACAAGGGTCACATGCTTAGAAACATTGCCATGCATTTTTCTGTATTGGGGGTAATTGTCAACAAATTTAGCCATATCCTCTGAAACAAATCAAAGAATGTGCAGTTCAGAATTGGTCTTGGAAACACTAAATTGACATATTCATCAAAGCAAAGTTCTTATTCATATAAAATACACAAATTTTCCAAACACAAACCTACAGTCTGGATGTTCTGGTTGCTCTTTGCAATTTGTTGGAAATCATCCACCATCCTTTTGATATTCATTCCAATATCTCCAAAGTTTTCATACATATTGGCTTTGAAAAAGGCATCTTGTTCAGAGGATAAGACAACCTCCTAAAAGCATTTAAGTTGTAAATGTATATTCGCAAGTTAAGTACAAGAAAGCACGTATTGCAAGAGGGGGGGTGGGGGAACCTGTTGATCCTTGGGAAATTTGCCAATGTTTCTCAAGTCCACTTTGTTGTCTTGAATGCCTATCAACTCATGGACCATTGCCTATGACAGATTTTAGAAAGTTTCAGCAGCATCCAATTCAGATTGTAAACACATGAACATAAAGGAAGTCAATGAACGGCACTTTCTTCTGTAATGACATAATAAATTAAGGTCAGAGCATAGCACATCTACCTGATAAGTCCATTGATTAAGCAAGGGAGCAACTGGGTCATCCCTCCTATCAATCACCAACAACAAAGGAGTAACCTCTGTTCGTCTAAAATCAAAAAGACCACTTTCCTGCTGGTACATCAGCTTCTGCACATCCAGAAGAAAGGAAAAAAATGAGCTCTTGAATTAGTTCTATCTCTGTAGAAATTAGACAACTTCTCATCTCTGCTAAAACAGACATGAAAATTTATGAGTTAGTCCTGTGAAACCAACAAGAGATTTGAAAAATATAAGTTGATTGAGAGGCATCAAACAGTCATAACTAGTAATGTACCATCCATCTAACATCACTTTTTCTTACCGCTGCCTCTTGTGCTATTCTTTTTGAAATGTCAGATGTTCTTGAATAACGAATAATAGGTCTTCGTTTCAAGGCCAAAAATAAAGCAGCAATTCCATCGACAACTCGTTCACAAAAGTGCAGCAGACTTGAAGGATCAACAACTGCTGGGAGCATATACATTTGGTTGGATGCAATGTTCAACGTGAAGTGAAATGGGTCTAATGCAACAAAGTCAGCAAAGAACTCCTGGACAGATCAAGTTGTTATTGATGAGGAGCAGTTAATTATAAAACTGAAAAGGCCAGCTCTTCAGTCATTTAGAATACGTTGCACAATAGTTTTTTCTTTCTTTTTTTTTTTTGGGGTAGATTAACACTAATGAGATCTGCTATTATTTCAAGGATCTCCCATCTGATTTTTCACATTAAAATGACAGCCTCTCAGGTTTCTTGTCAAGACGCTAATAGACTACCCTCCAAGTTAACTTGTTGATCTGAAAAGTCTACTCAGTTGCTAAATTAGCGACTGTAGGTTCTGAAAACAATGGCAGGACATTGTAGAAAACAAAGAGCAAAACACTACATATTTGGTTTAAGAACCAACACTAATAGTTCAACATTTTCAACACTCTCTTAGAAACCTCACAGGAGCTCCACAGAATCAATCCTTTTTAACATTTTTGTAATTTCAAATACGTTATCTTAAATTCTTAGTGATTGGGAGGATAGCAAAATAATAAGAAATATCCTATCCCAAAAAAAAAAAAACTGCATCCAGAGGATCCAAAGTAACCTGCACTTGGCGAACAATCTCATGCTCATCTGAATCAGCTAAGATATGCAGTTGGGTATCTTTCAACATGTTTGAGAAAACTGCAAACATCATGACATACAAGTTAGGGAGTAAATAAGCGTCTCGAAATGAAACATAGATGCTGTTTAGCCACTGTGGCAACAGCCTGAAACTAGTAATATTGTTAACATTGCAATAAGAGCAATTCATGTCCAACAAATGTATTATCAAACAAACCATGATAACATACAAATACAGTCCCCACAAGAATTCAAAACTCACTCAACAATGTAATCAGGCTTAACAAACGATCCAATGTCCTTATTCAATTAACTTACAAAGGTGATACTCGCCAAATCGAGGTTTAGCCAATTGACGCCGCATAAGCTGAATATTCTCTGATGTTGGTCGAAGGAAATAAACTGCTTTTAGATGTGACATTGGCTCTTTGGACATGGATATTGAATCTACAAATTCAACCAAAAAAACTTCTTTCTGAAGAAGCTCTGACTGAGAATATGCAACGCTTACAATACTAACCTGCAGCCATGAATGCAAACATAATAAAACTATGTCAAATCTGCTTGTGTCTCGAAACACAAGTTTTTAAAGTCAAATGAAGCAGCCAAACTCCAACTGAATAGTCCTAATCATGAATTCTTTCTAATAAGCTACCCAAATCCCATAACTTAAACAGAGTTAATTCAAGATAATTTTAAATGTACCCAAGATAAGACTCATTTTCTCAAGGTAGGAACAATTCAGGCGTTCAACATTACTGCTACATTTTCATTAATATACAACATGAGTACCTAAAAATCCAGAAAATTTCAGATAAAATAGATTCTCATTACAGAAAATCGGTAGAAGAGATGAAGAGAAAGCAATGCATCCTGAAAGAACCAGGGAAAGGGTTTTTAACGCATCCAACAGAACTATCTCTAAACACAATACCTCAATCAGTCCAACAAAAAATACTCCACCAAATTTTATCGTCAAACATCAAATTCGAAATAAACCGCATCACTTTCAGAATTCTACAAACTTTAGCTCCTTTTTGACAATTATTACTAACTAACCTCAGTTTTAAAATTCCGCTCAACCAGAGTTATACTTGAGCAGACACTACACAAAATCTGCATGAAATTGACCCCAAAAAGGAAAAAGGACCCATACTTTTGACCAATCAATCACGAGATTAAGTGTGCAAAATGAACCCACAAGGGATCAATGGTATTTATAACTCAACAATTAACATCCAAAAAGAGGAAATATAAAATATTAACGAAATCCACAAGAAACCCATAAATTTGACCAACTAATGAGAGACATTAGAACCAGGACAATTGACCCGCAATAGTAATGGCAATTATAATCCAAGAATTAACACATCAAATTGAAAAACAAAATTAAACACAAGGAACTGTAAGAATTACGAACCGTAGCAGAATCGAGGATGAGAATTTTCATCCCGGAAATGTCTTGAAGGATTCGATTGATGTAATCCCGTGCGGCATTTACTAGCACCATTTCTTGAACTTTGAAATCTCACTTGATCCGACTCCAGAGCTTCGTTGAAATGATTTTCTCCAACTAGTACGACGTCGTTTGAGGCTATATGTACCAATTCAAATCTACGTTTTGCTTCTCTCCCACTTTGTAACTATACTAGTTTGTTGGGGCATCATGCGATGCATGATGGTGCCCAGATGAAAGTCATTAAAAGCTAGAAAATTAAGATATTGAACGTAGTCACTAAGAATAATTAAAATGGTATTTGAATAGCATTTATTGCCTCAACAAAACTAATTCATTAGTAAACCAAATAGGAAGACGGAATTAGCAGATGGCTAATTTGGAATTTTCTTATTTCAGGAGCTGTTTTAAAGACTATAAGTCTTTTTTTTTTCTTTTTTTTTTGGGAAACTAAGATATATAAGTTTAATTTATATGTGTAACTAACAATAAGATGTAGTTTTTTTTTAATTTATTAGTAAGATATTCAAAGCACTAACTTTTCTATGCTAAACTTTTAATTTAATGGAAAAAGATGAATTTAATCATCTATATTATTTCATGCAACTATTAAACAGCTGAAAAAAATATTAGGTTTAAGCACAGCATTAGGGGTTCAAATGCAAAGGATTCAGGAAAATTAATTACGCTATAGTGTTGTTTGTGAAATTAAGAGTCGATGTTGAGGCTGAACTATCTTTGCTTTGGCCTTTGATCCAGAATGGCTTTGCCTATAAGATTTCATGTGGTAAAATATTAGATTTTATTGTAATAGTATATGTTATTGAATATATTCTATTTTGTATTGATAAATGTAGTAGTTGTACCAGATAAGGAGTATTTAGTGCATAGTTGATGTCGTGCATATGTTCTTCAGGTGGAGGTTGGACTGTTTGATGAGCTGCATCATAAAGTTTTTCTGCTAAAACTTGTTCAATATAAGGTCTGTTTGCTTTAGTCCTGTTATATTGTATAGGGTGGAGTCAGAATTTGGTAATAATGTGTCTAACAAATAAGTAAATATTGACTTTGTAAACTTACCAACTTTTGAGTTCTAGTGCTTGAGGGATTTGTGGATCAAACAAGATAGCACTCATTGTTTGTGTCTCGACAGATAAGACTGATATATGATTATTTGAAAAGTTAGTATTATATTTTGTAAAGTAGATAATATACTTTACTTTTCTAAGTTTATATGAATTAGGGAAAGATTAACATACCATGTACTGAAGTCACTTTGGCTCTTGTTATAATCAATGTCGGGGATTGATTTAAGATCCTCAGAAGGTATTGTGCTTCAATATCAATGAATTCTGGCCACATTGTAAGTATCATTGGCTTTTGCCTGTGTCAGTTGTCAATGGTTAATCTGATTATTGTATTGTATTATACTTTACTAATTTGCATTGTTTTTATACTTACTCTTGATTTAGGATGATGAATTCTTGAATTGGACAATCGGCTCTTTGTCGTGCAATGAAGCGACGGGGAAGAGCTCCAATGACAGTACATAGCAAAGCTGAGACAAGAGGATTAACTATTAGTATTGATATGTAAGAATCATTGTAGTAAGAATGTAACGAAAATTATTAAAGTGAAGTAATACTTATCGGATTTGTATTTGTATCCATGTACTTATAGAAGTCTCTGAATGGTGTAAAATTGTAGCACTGATCAATGGGATATTGGTTTTCTTGATCTGCTTCTTTGATGAATGTACCTCTGGTCAAGGTTAGTTGAAATGGTGAAGTGCAGTATCTGAAATTTTCTATTGTTATAGGCTCCACCTTTGCATTGCCAATGTAGTATGTAGAGTACAACACAAGTGCTTGATCTAGAGCTTGTATATCTCTTGTGTATGAGACAGCTTGGATTGTACTTTTCTGTATTTTGCAGTAACAGAGAATAAAAGATAATGAGTGAGTTTTTACTTCTATTTTGTAGAACATTTTGCCTATGTATTCCTTATATGAATAAATTTACCTTTATCAAGGAACAGATATTTCTGGAATGTAGTACTTCCATCTTTACTGATACGAGGAGCTGTTTTCTCAATGAGAATAGCTTTTGCAACCCAATCTTCTTTTTCTTGTGCTATTTCAGTAATGGGAATACACAGCTCTTCTATTTCACTGCAATATTAGTCAGGATTCATGTATAGAGATAAGTATATACAGTGTCCATGGTATAGTGCTGCAAAAAGAGCTGATGAAACAATTAATATATAACTAAAACAGATTTATGAAAAGAACCAAAATACACAGCTCTTCTATTTTACTGCAATATTAGCGAGCATTTATGTATAGAGATAAGTATATATAGTGTTCATAGTATAGTGCTGTAAAAAGAGCTGATCAAAGAATCAATATATAACTAAAGTAGATTTATAAAAAGAACGAAAATGGTAAGCAATGGTAGGAAACATAAACAAAATAATAGAGAAAATGTGAGGAAGTAAGAGTTAGCTATTAGCTACTGCTGAAAGCACTTCTTGATAGACAACATTTCGTGTCAAATTGGTGCTTTCTCTTTGTCCGTGTGGTGGCTGTATCAGAACTTTAATGTTAGTAGCTGTCCGTGCTCTTGACAAAGCAACGTAAAGTTGTCCATGGGAAAAAACTGGTTCTCTGAGGTAAAGTCCAACATAATCAAGTGTTTGTCCTTGAGCTTTATTAATGGTCATTGCGAAACACAAGCGCAGTGGAAATTGAGTTCTCTTGAACTGTACTGAAGACAATTCATCATCAGAAGCTTGTAATGGTATCCTTGGAATGAAAACAATTTTTCCTGCAAAAGAGCCAAATGCTATCTGTGCTTGAATTATGTTATTCGAAAATTCCTTACAGATTAGGCGTGTACCATTTGATAGGCCCTCACTTGGATTGATGTTTCTGAGAAGCATCACTGGACAGTTCTTTTTCAGTATTAGCTCATGCAAAGGAAGGCCCTTAGGTGTAAGAGAATGCAATAGATCTTGATCTTGGAATTGTACTGAAGAGTGTAATGGTTCATCATTGTTGAAGTAGGTTCTCTCTGCTCCTGGAAATTTCATTATCAACTTATGATTAATCTGATGAACAAAGTCATTTCTTGTCATCAATATTGCTCGATTGATGATATATGATGTTGTTGAAGTAATGTACTCCATATTTGGGAACACAGTATCAATCAGAGCATTTATGGAAGTTTCATCATCTTGAAAAGAAATGTTGATTGATTCTGGTATCTGAACTTCATCTTCATCAGTAGTTTGCTCTATTCCATCTCCAATTCTCATCAAGAATGTTGAGAAATCTAGATCAAGTCTTGCCCTCATATTGACTGTTAATCTGATCTTTTCGACTTTGCTCCATAATGGTGACATGACAAGACTGGTATCTATGATATCTTCTCTGGTACCATGTGTGATTACCGGTAAGGTCTGACGAAAGTCACCACCAAAGACAATGACTTTTCCACCAAAAAAATGGCCGTTATTTGTTATGTCTTGTAACATCTTGTCAAGGGCTTCAACTGATTTTCTTTTAGCCATAGTAGCTTCATCCTATATAATGAGCTTAGCATCTCTGATTAGCTGAGCCAAGACACTTTGCTTGCTGATGTTGCAGTACTTATTTTGATCATCATTAATGGGAATTTTGAACCTTGAGTGTGCAGTTCGACCTCCAGGAAGAATGGATGCTGCTACACCTGATGTTGCAGTAACAAGTGCTATGTAGCCTTGTGATCTTATAGTTGCAAGCAGAGCTTTATAGAGGTAAGTTTTTTCAGTTCCTCCTGGTCCATCAATGAAAAATGCCTTTGATATGTTGTTGTTGACACAATGTAGTACTTTATCAAAGGCAATTTTCTACTCTTCATTTAGTTGATTTACTGAGAGCAAATCTTCCTCAGGAGTGATGATATTTTTTTCTATCTGAAATTCTTTTGTGTCCATGTGATTCTGCAGTTGTGTATTTGGTATAGCTAAAAACCATAGTGTGTGATCTGTTTTCCCATTGCTCTCAAATGCATGTCTATAATCTGCAATACTGTGCCATTGACTACTTCTGTAGATAATGTTTTATTCTGTTGAATATCTTCAGAAAGAAAATTCTTAAACTTTAGCCACAACTCTTGACAGTTTGAAGGATTGCAGTAGACTAAGATTGTAGCAAACAGATGACGAAGTGAAGATGGCATTTGATATAGGACAGCCTCTGCTAAACAAATTTCTACACTATTATCAGCTTGTAATAGACCTAAGAACTCTGCTGCTTCTCTGAAGGATGTAGCAATTTTGCCATTAATCACTTTTAGATCATGGAATAATGTTGGCTTTTTAACATGCTTTAATAAGAGTCTTAAATAGTACCTTTCACCTTCAGAAGGATGAACTCCAGCAATTCTTCCAATTACATCTCTTTGCTGTCGCAATGACCAATATCTTGACTTAGCATCCCATACGAAATATTGAGGAAAATCTGTATATAGGCAATTCAAATTTTTTGCAAAATGGTCATACTTATTCATCTGAAAGAATTCTGTGAGCATAGTTTTTTTCAAATGTGCATTTTTTATAACATCATCAACAGATTGTTGATCTGGAAAAGTGACTGGTTGTTGATTTTCTAGATGCACTGGTAGAGTCATTACAGAAGGATGCATTTCATTAAGATCAAAACTATATATTCTCCACATAGCTTCTGGTGCTGAAATCCATCTTGCTGATTGGAAATTCTTGATTTCATCAAGCATTTGATTTGCTTCTCCATTGCTGAGTTGATATAGTATCTTGTCATGACCCTTATAGATGTATTTATAAATATACTTAACTGCTTGTATAGTAGAACATATCTCTACATTCATGTGGCAGTCAAATCTGGACAAAAGATATGCATTGTAAGGAACTACCCATTGATTATCCAAATGATCTCCTCGAACCTTGACAGTCCTTTTGTTATCAGTTCGTCGATAGATTGGATAAGAGTTCTGACCATGTCTTGTTGATTCAGCAAATTGTTTTGGATACTTATCCTTGCAAATTCCACCTTTCTACATACAAGCACAGTTTGGATTTATTTGTCCACAGGGTCCGTGCATCATATGTTGTGCTACTAAAGAGTGCAGATGCCTGTGTTTATGTAAATCAGGTAGCTCAGCAGAAACAATGCGATCGTATGCTTCAGGATTCAATAACTTAGAGCAATGCTTTAGAATGATAAGAAAATGTGCATGAGGAAGACCACGTTTCTGAAATCCAATAACATATGTGTAAGCTGCAACTTTGCCAAAAATATGTTTCTTGAAAAGTTCATTCTTTAACATTTGCAACTTAGCTCAAAAAACTCGGGATACCAGATCAGGCCTATTCTCTGTCTTCTCTGTTGGCAATAAAAGGTTCTTGATTTCTGGCCAATTTCTGTTGCAAGTCATTGTTAAAAAAATGTCTGGTTTGCCATACTGCTGAACCAAAGTCATTGCATCTAAATAACGACGCTTCATGTCGCGTGGACCACCAATAAAGCTGCGAGGCAATATGAATCTTTTACCAACATTTGAGCCATTGATTTCTCCAGTTGATAAGCTATCAAGAAGACCTTGATATAACTCAGTCCTAAGGCGATTATGGTACTGATCATTCTTGAAAAAATTAAGCCGTGATGTTTCAATCTTCACGTACATGTCAACCACATACTGTTGGAGTAGCCTTCCAATATGCAAGAGCATTGATTTGTCTTCAGGTTTGATCTGCAGTTTGTAGCAATAATATTCTCTGCAAGATACATACTTTCGCTTTTTGCTACGCTTTGCTGCAACTGTTTATAGAAAGGTGAGTAATTAGGCACAATATGTAATGACTATAGCTAATATAAATTGATCTTGAATAGAAATTGTTAATATATACGATTAATGATACCTTGGTTTTCAGCATGTATAACATCTTCTGCAGTCATGAACATATCTACTGGAATTGTTCTTTCTCCTGGACAGGTTTTACCTGAAGTAGCATTATTTTGTGCACTTGAAAGTTTTTCTATTCCTAGATGCCATCCTGGTTCTCCATTAGGGAATATAAGTGGATATTGCATTGGATCATAGCAGCCATAATAGTGCTTTACAATCTGAGCATTCCCACTTTTTGAATACACTTGAATGTGTTTGCTATTGGTTTGATCAGAGGTCTGTGATTCTGTCCAAAGAGCACCAACTTGTGAGACTGTTGGCTTGTTGTAAATGTGCTGATCAACTGTTGGATTTGATTGCAACATTATTCTGTATTCATCTTGTTAGGATCAAGCGCTTACCATTGCACCAAAAGCTATAGCTGTTAGTGAAGGCGCAACTTTATTTCCTTAACCACAATGGCAGCGCAAAGCACCGTACCACGCTCGGCCAGCATGAGGGTCTGCACCCCTGGGTGCCACGGGCTGGGCGGTTAGTCCCGTCGAACCGGGATCTGAGGGATGTTGCTGATTAGGCCAACAATCCCTCCCCCAGCAACAGCCAGGGAGATTCGAACCCGCGACCTCGCTCTGATACCACTTGTTAGGATCAAGCGCTTACCATTGCACCAAAAGCTATAGCTGTTAGTGAAGGCGCAACTTTATTTCCTTAACCACAATGGCAGCGCAAAGCACCGTACCACGCTCGGCCAGCATGAGGGTCTGCACCCCTGGGTGCCACGGGCTGGGCGGTTAGTCCCGTCGAACCGGGATCTGAGGGATGTTGCTGATTAGGCCAACACATCTAGATCAGGCAAGTCTTGTAATCCATGAAAAAATGATGAGTACGGATTTACTTTCAATAGATCAGCCAACATTACTATCAAATTTTCTCTGAACTTGTTTGATATGGACAGACGATTTTCTACTTCATGCTCAGCATCATAGAAATACAACTGCAAATTCACTGGCTTTTGACCATCAGCAGGAACTAATGGATTTATAAAATGATACATCTGACCCTGCACTCGAAAGGTATAGATACCATTGTACTTTTTTCCTAATTCCTTATCACAGTGCATTCCTATTGAAGTAAAAGTAAACATATTATTATAGCTTCGCACACAATTGCGAAAGTGTGCAGCCTCATTATTGTCACTGAGATATAACAACATCAATTCTCGAGGCATCTCAGTTTCAAGGAGTCGAATTTCACCTGATGAACAACAAAAATCAGGAGGCTCTAAGTGAAATTTTTTTGCTCCACAGAGTTTACAATAAGAAGCTTCTGGTAATGTCATTGATTCTGTAGCAATGTCTTGTAGAATATCTCTTTTCTGTCTTTGACGACGTTATTGAGATCGCCGGGCAGGTTTTTGAGATCCAAGAGTGCCATTGTTTATTGCTCTATTACTTGAAGCAATTTGATAAGTATCATTGTTTATCCCTGTACTGGTTGAAGGAATGTCAATACCAGAGCTGAGAATAACATTTGTTGTTTGAGAATTCTGTGTACCTAGGAACGATTTTAACTTGGCAGAGGTTAAGACATTATCAGAATTTTGATCCAGACCAATTATACCAAGCTTTGAATTTGAAAGATCAGTCTTTGTTCCTTTTTTCTGATTACATTTTCTTGCTTCTTGTAGAATACCAAATGTTGATTGAATGTATTCAACAGGTATTGATTCTGACTCTGTAGAAGTCAAAATAGCATCAGAATTCTGATCTAGATTAATCATAGCAGCTTTTGAACTTGAAGATTCACGCTTTCTTCTCTTTTGCTGATTACGTTTTCCTGGTTGTTCTGGAACACCAGATGCTGATTCAATATACTCAGGGCAGATTTGCACTGCCGTTAATGCCACAGTACAAGTGCCTCTGCTAGAATTCCCAACTGCTTCTGACCTACTAATAGCACGACGCTCCCGCCGTCTCCTATTTCTTTCCTGGTATCGTTCTTGAAGAGTAGCATATTTTCTTTTTGGTGGCATTGCTTATTTGTTAAACGATAATCATAAATATACTTATGCAGGAAATTTACTTACCTCCAGTCTAAGAAAATGTAAAATTAATCATACAAATAAGCATACAGGTAGAAATAATCAAAACTGATCATAACCAAAGATATCAGTCAAAAGCTTTAACACATCAAAGACAAGAACTCAGATAACAAAGTGAAACTAACCGATCAACCATTGATAATGATCCCTGAACAATTTGCACCAGCAGCAGACTTAAACAGCTAGCTGCAATTCGAGACATAGATAAAAAAAAACATAGAAACGAGAGATGAGCAAGTCATTTTATAGGAATCAAACTTTCAGACCACATAGAAATCAAACTTGCAGAATACAATACGTATACACTTGAACTTATTTGCAGACTTTGAATGGTTCTCTGTTTCTGCACTTTCATTTTGACCTATATATATATACATATATAGATTCCGCACATGCAGCACAAAATGATAACAATTCTGTAAGTTAAATCTATAAACTACTTATCCATAATCATCTAACCTCCAACTGAACTCATATACCATAATTACAATCTAATCCATAAAACATCATAAACTCATATACCAAAGCTGCTACTATATAATGCATGAGAGAAACATTTAACAGAAAAATAGCTTCATGCATGCAACAAAAAAGATAGAATCATGACAAAAGGAATAAAAAGGAACTGGCGGCTAGTTTGAAAGCTCCGACAAAAGAAATAAGCAAGAAAACTACAAAATAGAACAATTTTGTACTTATATATGTATATATGAACTGCCAAAACTTCATGCATGCAACAAAAGAGATGGAATCATGACAAGAAAGAATAAGAAGGAACTCACCAGTAATTTCAAAGCTCCGACAAAAGAACTAAGCAAGAAGACTGCAAAAGTAAACAATTTTGCACTTTATATATATGAACTGAAGAATGTCTAGAACAGATTTGCACCTTGAAGACTCGTTAGTGGACGTTCGCACCATTTTTAACAGAGACATGCAAGACATGCAACTTCAGAAGCTCCCAATTGCTTCCACGTAAGCTAACAACACCATCGTATCTGTCCAACACCCAAACATCAAAGTGAAATTCCATAATTAACCACCTACTGATGGTGCTCATACGGGACCATCACTTCTTATGAGATATCAGCCAACTCCCCTTTTTATACTTCTTAGGATATAATCTAGCAAGAATAATCGGAAATTTTGAGAGATGAAAATACGAAGAGTTTTGTATAGCTCGCTTTGGTTTCTTTGTTTTCTTTAACTTAAGTCAAAAAAATTTCCCCTTTTCTTTTTGAAAGGCTTATCTAAAGTTAAGAAGGGAAAATGTTGTTCTGCCGACTTTCGCCTCAATTTACCACAGAAAAATTATTGATCATCAAAACAACTAAAATTTACTGTAGAGAGAAATTTCATTTATGAATTTAACTCTTCTAATTCAAAGAGACAACAAACATCAAATCTATCAAGTCCATTACAAATCTTGAGGTTAATGACGAAAAGATATGCATATGTCAAAAAATGTGAGTGCTATAGTAAACTCTCATGTCTCTTATATAATAGATTTTTTTTTTTGGTCAAAAGTCTCTTATCAGCATAAGTAGATAATGTTCCAAGTGAATTCAGCCAAAAGTTTCGTCGTCCTCTCACGTGCCCAGCATGCGGATTGGAAGCATTCAATCCTTCGCACCTTGCGCGTTAGCTTCCCATCTGGCCTCGCTGCCAGTAGCCCATGTGCCTGTGTTTCCTTCTTTTCTGTGCTTCTACTGCATTTTCTCTTTCCGCTGCCCTCTCTCTCTTTCTCCTTCTGTCGTTCTTTTTTCCCTTTTTTTTTTCCTTCCCTCTTCCCACAACGATGTCGCTCTGTCACTTATCCACGTGTTCTCTAACCTGGTACAAAAGTTTTTTGAGGTATGATATTTTGTTCTGCCAAGTCCATTGTCTTCTTACCGTCCAAGGAGCTGCCGCCTTAGCTATTGGCTGCATCGGTCCAGTTGGTTTTTCTCCTCCTTCGTCGTGAGCTTTCTTCTTCTTCTTCCTTTCCAGTGAGTTCTAACCTTTTCTGTGAGTTTCCTCTGTTCTTTCCCCCATCTGCAGTTCGAATTTTTTTGTCCCTTGTCTAGTGACGTGTAGCTCCCTGTTTTTTCCTCCTCAGCCACTGTTTTCTTACCGTCACGGAGGCGCCACCTTCGCTGTTGGTTGCTGTTGTCCGGATCTTGTGCCGTTCGCCTGGTTCTCTTCCTCCTCCTTCGTTGTAAGCCTTCTTCTTCTTCCTGTCCAGTGAGATTCGGTCTTTGCTACAGTCTTCCTATGTATCCCCTTTTTTTTTTTGGCCTGGAGTTCGTCTATTTTGTGCTTTGTCCGGTGAGGTACATTCTTGGTTTTAGTAAACTGTTCACTTGGCATGCTTTCGTTCTGGTTGTGCTGTGTTGGGTTCTCTGTGCTTACTGTCTCAAAAAAGGATAGTAGAGGCCTTTTCTGTGTCTTTGTCTCCTTTGTTCTCATCTGCTGTTTGTGGCTTGCCTTTCTTAATTAAAAAAAAAAGTGATCCTGTCGTGTCTGCCTGGAGGTGTTAAGACTGGTTTGTCCTCCAAAAAACCCTCTATGTCTTCTGCCTAAAAGAAAATTTCAAGAGAGTCCTATTTCATATTTTAATTGATACTAAAATTTATTTAATTTAAAACTTTTTGAATTTAACGTGTTTAATAATAGAAATGTCTTTAATTTCTTTCAATATAAAAAAAATTCTTACTGCTTAATCTATTAAGCACTGTTCTTGTGCTGTGTTGGGTTCTCTGTGCTTACTGCCTCAAAAAAGGATAGTACAGGCCTTTTCTGTGTCTTTGTCTCCCTTGTTCTCATCTGCTTTTTGTGGCTTGCTTTTCTTAATTAAAAAAAAATGACCCTGTCGTGTCTGCCTAGAGGTGTTGAGACTGGTTTGTCCTCCAAAAAACCCTCTATGTCTTCTACCCAAAAGAAAATTTCAAGAGAGGCCTATTTCATATTTTATTTGATGCTAAAATTTATTTAATTCAAAAATTTTTGAATTTAACGTGTTTAATAATAGAAATATCTTTAATTTCTTTCAATATAAAAAAAATTCTTACCGCTTAATCTATTAAGAACTGTTCTTGCACTGTGTTGGGTTCTCTATGCTTACTACTTCAAACAATGATAGTAGAGGTCTTTTCTGTGTCTTTGCCTCACTTATTCTCATTTGCTGTTTGTGGCTTGCTTTTCTTAATTAAAAAAAAAAGTGACCCTGTCGTGTCTGCCTGGAGGTGTTGAGATTGGTTTGTCCTCCAAAAAACCCTCTATGTATTCTGCCTAAAAGAAGTTTTCAAGAGAGGCCTATTTCATATTTTAATTGATACTAGAATTTATTTAATTCAAAACTTTTTGAATTTAACGTGTTTAATAATAGAGATGTCTTTAATTTCTTTTAATATAAAAAATTTCTTACCGCTTAATCTATTAAGCACTGTTTGATTTGTTTATAAAATTTTATGTAAAACTTTCGCACTGAATTTTCTGAATTGACTATACGTACTACCCTTCTCACACATATAACACATTTTCGTGCATTTTTTGTTCTCCTATTGTTTGACACATATGCAAACCCGCACACACTCACGCACACAAATACACAAACTTAATGCACTATCTCTAAATTGTTTCATTATGTTTTCTCTCCCTCATACCCACATATACATTTTTTGTCTAAACTGCGTATTGAAGCTGTTTTGTGTTGTGCTGCTCTTTTGCTATTCTTCCTGTCCAGTGAGCTTTCTTTTCCTCTGTTAGTTTTAGCCTACGGTTGTAAGCTTAACTACTTGTTCCTCTGTTAGTTTGCGTGCTTGATGTTGCGTTATCAGCTCTTTAATCCTGTTGCCCATTTGGACTATGCTTTCTTTTTCATTCTTTCGCTGTATTTAGAGCTGTAAACGAACCGAATCGAACCGAGTATCTCATGTTTGAGCTCTGTTCGTTAAGCAGTTCGAACAACGTTCGTGTTCGTTCGTTAATTTTCGAACTCCAAACCTGTGTTCGTGTTCGGCTCGTTAAGCAAAATTCGTGTTCGAGTTCGAGTTTGTATTCGACTCGTTTAACATAAATGAGCCGTTCGCGAACATGCTCGAAATGCTCGAATCCAAATTATTTTAAGCCTTAAATATGCCATGCAAATTATTAACCATTCTCAAAAACAATTAAAGCACTAAGTGACTAAATTCTATTATTCATTAACTATATAACTAACATTAACATAAAAATAACAAATAAAACAAAGCAATTTGCCCTCCAAATATAAAAGTCCAGCCATAAAATTAATCCTAAAATTTATCAAATGATAATTATGTCCATGTTCGCGAACGTTCGTTAAAACTCGCGAACATGTTCGTGTTCGCTCGATTATTAATCGAACAAAAAAATTCGTTCGAACTCGGTTCGTTTAAGATTTCGAACGAGCCTTTCACGAACACGAACGAGTCGAAACCAACCGAGCTACCGAACAGCTCGGTTCGTTTAACAGCTCTAGCTGTATTCCCCTTTTTCTAAATCCTGCTACGCATTTCCTTTCTCTATATGAACCTAGGTTGTTTTTCTCCTACCTTTCATTCCTTGATGAATTTAGGCTTTCCTCAGCTTGCCCTTGTTTCTGTTTTCGTTTTCAGATGACCGTCGAGCCTTTGCGCGTCTCTGAGGTCCATAGCTCCCTGCCCCGTTGGACTTCTGTCATCCAAGTTATTGAGGCTTCTCATCTTAAAACGACCTATGCAGCTCATGCATCCAAGATGTATCGCCGCTTCGTCTTTGCTGATTCACACATACGCTTCCTTTTGATTATGTTATTGTTTTATTATTTCTCCCCGCTCACATGTAGCTAATTCCCCCCCCCCAACTGCTTTTTATCTTGTGATGGATAGGGTGTAAAGTTTTTTCCTGTCGCCTTTAATGATAATGTTTCTCACATTGAAGGTTTGCTTTTCCCTTTCAAAAAGTACTGCATAAGTGATGCTGCTGTTGAAGAAATTCCCAGACCTGCTCCGCCCGATTTGTATCGCTTCTTTTGGATTATAAACAGTGCTACCCTGATCAAAGAGGTCTTTGAGCCCAAAACGCTGACCTTTCCGCCTTATTTCGATCTTACCCCCTTCACCTCCTTCCAGCATTTTGCTGATAGCCAGATCTCTATAAGTGAGCCGTTTCCCCTCGGTTCTTTTATGCTACTTTTTGCATTTTACCTTTTTGTAGTTCACACTACTTGTCATTAACTCTTATGGCTTTGCTCTTTGATAGACATGATGGGTGTTGTTTTGTACGCTTTGCCTGTGAAGGAATCGCGCTCTGAGGTTCTTTCTGTTGTTTCCAGGGACTATGTTGTTGCCAATCAGAGGTTTTTCTCCATACTAATGCTCCTGGTTGTTTTTCTCTTGTCCTTGTACCGATTTGCTTTTAACATTTGCTTTCTATTTTCCCTCCAATAATATGCCTATTCTTTTGACACTGATCGGGGAGATTGAGTCTGAGGAGGGAGGATCTATAGTGAATGCAATGAGATCCACTGAATCGAAGCCAGTTATTATTGGTATTAGAGTCAGAGTGAAGACCGACAACTGTGAGTTTCGGATGCTTATGCCTACACCTATGTTAGTTTCCCTTTTTTTGTTCTGTTGCTTATTATCTTTTCTTTTTTACTTCCTTCCAGATTTGTCCCTTTGTACTAAAGCTACTTCCGTTGTTTTGGTTTCCCCCCAAATTCAAGAAGCTACGCATCTTGCACGATGGTTATCTAGTCCTGCTTTTTGCATTTTTGAGAACCAAGAAAAAAAAAATCCCCCTCTAACTGGTGACCACCTCAACTTATTATTACTGCTTTCTATTTGTCTCTTTATAGGTACCGTCATAATTGTTCTGAAGTAATGACTTCGGTTTTGGAGAAGAGATACTGTAATCCCCTCCTACTTCTCCCTCCTGTTGGTGACACCATGCTGGCCACCATTTCCAGTGTTGCCACAACAACTCATTTTGTTAGGGACCCTTCCCTTCTGATATTCTTTTACTTTTTTTAAAACTTTTTCCCTATTATTGTGACACCACTTGTTCCGTTTTTTCCAGCCTATAAGTTCTGCATGGATTAAGGGCCGAGTTACTGTTGATCGCTTACACAGGCTATGGAATTTGGCCTGTCCATATTATTTTGCACCTAACAATTTTATTGGGACTCTAGGAATCTCTTGTATTGCCTGCCTCAAGGATCTTTATACTTTTCCTAGGTGCGGTAATGCTACTTTTTGGTTTGCCCTCGCTTCTATTCGCTTGGAACTAATGAATTTATTTCCTACCTGGTGCCTCCTTTAACAAGGTTTGATGTATCTTTTATCCTCAGAGCGCGTGTTAAGTTGGATATTGCTGATGCTACTGCTTCCATCA